TAAGGTATAATTAAAAAATCCTGCTTGAAGAATGTTTGTATGCCAAAAATTTCCAAGACTTTCCTCACAACTGTAGAGGATATTCAGCTTTCTCTTACTCCTCCCATGCTTGCCTGGGAAGTGGAAAGTCACTCCACAGGCCATGAACACTTCCAGAATGGATGGCAGCACCTGGACTGGAGCAGATGTCTGGTGTCATTCCTTGGAAAGTCACTGAGAAGCCTGTGAGAAGGAGTCTGGGGCTTCTGGGGTTCTGTGGAATTCCCTGGATACCCAAACATTCCCCAGGAAAGATAAGCCCAAGAGCACAATATGAAAACCAGCTCAAGGCTTCAGAAAACAGTTGACTTGGTTTCACTTCACGTGGACTGTGCTGTGGAGATCATTGTTTATGTGGCATTTCAATTTTCTCATTTATAAATTAGAAATAAAGGCATTTAGAACAATTTCCTTGATATAACTATTGTAAAGAATGAAAAGAAGTGATGTCTCCAGAAGACTGAGAAAGATGACTGACGCATGGAAATTACTTAATGAATCTCTGCTCCGTTTCTCTGGGTTAACAGTCAGATGTGGGGACGACGTCAATGAATCTCTGCTCTGTTTCTCTGGGTTAACAGTCAGATATGGGGACGACGTCAATGAATGTCTGTCAAGGTGTATGCTTGAGGGTAGAGTTAGTGCTACTGTCTTTGCTTTAACTCATGGGATAAATCTGCCCAGGAAAAAGTGGGATATACCAAAATAGAGCTGAATAAAGAAGCATGACTGTGGTTAAGAACACAAATGGTGTGTGCCTTTGTGTAAGTTATTTAGCTGTTTCCCTGTGGGTAAAGTAGACATTATGATATCACAGAGCATGCAGTAGACCTCTGATTCCATAGTCCACTCATTCCCTTCATTTTCTGAGGTCTGGTCCCTTTTCCTAAGGGCGAGTTCCTGCAACTCAGTTTATTCCACAGAGATATTTTTCCTTAATTGTTCCATATGAAAGTACGGGATTGGAGAATTTAGGAGGACCCAACCCAATCAGCTTGCTCTCCAGAGAGATGACTCAGTAAGACAATGCCTATAAAGTGTTTCGCATAGCCCTTGAGATGCAAACAAGAGCTCAGTAATTTTAAAATCCCAAATAAAGAGTATTGCTGGTCTCAGCTCTTCAACTGATGACAGTTTTGTGGGCAGTGCCTGTAATTTGGATAGGTGGTACCAGCCCAATAGGCAGTGAGGAGGAATTTTCCTGACGGCTCAAACTGAGAAAGGTTGGCATTTCTATCTTTTTATCCTTTCATGCCAGGGACATTCCTGAAAGACACACATGTTAAACAGGCTCCTCTGGAAAAGCGAACAATTCTTGTACTGCTAATTTTCACATCACGTTCCCAGACTAACTGGACTCAGACCCAGCATTTCTTATTTTTCGCAGTTCTGACTGGGAAATATGGAAGGATGCCATTTCTAACACACCTCTTCCCGTGGTCACCTGCAGGAATAGCTGTCTGCTCATCCTGCCCTTAACAGGGTCTGCCTAGTAAATGTATCTCTATGTACTGGCCAAGCATCATAGTGTTTCCTTCTTCTGTTTAAACTAGAAGCACTAGTTGGAAAAGAGGGGGAGGGCTTAGTCCTGATGGTTCTTGGGCTGGAAAGCTTAATAAATAACAAGCACACGAGGAAGCCCTTTCCTGGTTGGGTATTAATTTCAACTCTCAGTCACTATGTTGAAGACAGAATTTTCACCCATCTATGTACTTAGTGTGCTATGAAATTATGCTAACTTTTGTCTCTTTTCTGTGTAGATCGAAAAGTCATTTTGATTTGTTTTTACTTTAGTGTTCATCCCAATGAAATTCTCCCCTCATGGCAGAAACACCCCCACCTCTCTCCCTCTTCCCACTACTTCTTCAGGAAGTTTCCTGGTTTGAGGTCAGTCAACAGTGTGACTAATTCACCCCAGAGGTCCTGAGTGCTTTGTATACATGCTGAAAGCCTCAGCAAGGTTTTGAAGATACTCAGACACACATACACACACACACACACACACACACACACACACACACACACACGCTCACATACACAGACACAAAACTTGTCACCAACAAAGTATCATTGGGGTTTTCTTTCAAAAGGAGAAAGCAGTTAAAACGCACAGCTGGCTATGCCAGAAAACACAGAATTAGACATACTGGATTTAAGAGTTATGTAAGGTCTCAACTGAGCCAGTGAATGAGAAGTTGAAAGAAATGTTGAGATTGCTCCTCTAGTCCCTGGGAAGAGCAGAATATGTGGATATATGTGCTTTGGGCAAATAAAAGGCAATTACTGGGCGTTATGGAGTACAGTTGACATTTCAAGTGGCTTAAGCTATAGAATGCCTGACAGGGCCTGTGCTAGGAGATAAAACGTTGTCCAGGCTCAAAGAGAAAGACTGTAAGGACAGACATGCTGGAAAGGAAGCCTGGAAAGGGTCTGCTTCACTGTCGTATTTTGTAAGAGACAAAGGGCAGTTTGAAACGTATATTATGCAGTTTAAATTATATGTTATGTAATTGTTCTATAAACTTATAAAAGTTTCAGATAATTTTAAATACCAAAGATAAATTATATATTACAAATTTCCTCCTAGTAGTGAACTTTCCACACAAGGCAGGCATGTTCTAGAAGAAATAATGGATTTTACAGTTTAAGAATTTTTTTTTATTAAGAATTCTCAAACCAAGCCTAACTCTTCAAGATAAATCCCATAGGACTTAGAAACTAAACTAAATTACTACTTTTCTTATTTGCAAATAATCTTGTTTGCAAATATGTCTCAAGATAGCTAACTGAAAAGTAGATATTCTTCTCTTTCAGCATCTCCCCGAGATAAATAGGACAAAAAAGTAATTGTCGGAGACAGCTCTACCTTCTTAAAGAAAAATTCTGGATTAATTGAAGAAAAAATTACCTGTTAGTCCCCAAAACATCAATTTTTACAGCAGTTTGGGCCTGTCCCTTAGCATGCAATTTAACTATATATCCTTAGCAATAAAAATAACTTCTTGTCTATTGCTACTGCTTAACCATTAAAACCTCGATTAGCAATCTTGTACTTATTTCACTTGATAGAGTTTACAATATAAAATGTTTTAGGGCTTAGGGAGATGGCTCAGGTGGTAAGAACATTTGCTCTGTAACATGGGGACCTAATTCTAAATCTCCAGTACCTCAGGGCACAGCTGGGTGTGCCTGGGACCCCACGGAGACAGGTGGATGCTAAGGGCTTCCCTCTTCCAGAAACTCTAGCCTGGAATCCCCTGGAGATAGGTGAATGCTGAGGGCTCCCCCTTCCAGAAACTAGCCTACAACCCCATGGAGACAGGTGGATGCTGAGGGCTCCCCCTTCCAGAAACTCTAGCCTGCGACCCAATGGAGACACGTGGATGCTGAAGGCTCCTTCTTTTAGAAACTCTAGCCTGGAACCCCATGGAGATAGGTGGATGCTGAGGGCTCCCCTTCCAGAAACTCTAGCCTGGAACCCCATGGAGACAGGTGGATGCTAAGGGCTCCCCCTTCCAGAAACTCTAGGTTAAATGGTGAGCTTCTGATTTAGTGATGGACCATGTCTCAAGGCAATAGGCATGAGTAATAGAGCAAGACATCTGGCACTCTCCTCTGGCCCCCAGACACACAGACACAGGGTCTATATCTGCATAGCCAACATGCGTGCAACATGCAAACAATTGGAACACTTCTAATCTATAAAATATATGCTAAAACAGCCATAAATGCAAAGATTAGCAGAGAATCTGTTTCTTTAAACTTAGTCTAATCTTGTAAGAGAGACAGCTACACGTTAGAAGGTAAACAACTCTATCATGTATTTGATGGTTGTATATTAGTATTTATCATTTACTTTAACAATAAGAAAATTATTTTGAAGAACTATAATTTGTTTATGTTGCCATTTCAAATATAAATTATTTCAAAGAAACTGTTTTTTGCTTGTTTGTTTTGCCACAGGTAAGTCAGTGAGTGCATTTGATATCCACTATTGCAATGAAGTGTTATATAATATTGTAGTAATTTGAATTGATAATCAAATAATTCTGTTTTTGTGAACATACATAGTAATGGCAAATATTTGTGTTTGATGCTATATCATAAATAACTAAAAATATTCCTGACTATAAATCAAATGGAGTCTATAAAACACTCACCTGAAGAGTATATTCTCATCTACTTTTTAGTTCTTTTCAACAGTTTCCCATCAGGTCACACAATTACACATGTTGAGCTTGGAGAAGATGCTGTATTCCTTCAGTCACATGTGGAATAATCTCTGGTATGTTCGCTAAGACTACCGTGACTGAAACAACACAGGAGGGGCAGGCCTGACCCATGGACAAAGCACAAGGCCCTTGTCAGCTGAGCTCCAGCTCCTTGCCTCATATGTTCTAAGAACTTTCCCGAATGTCCAACGGAGTACAGATTTAGCTTAACATTCCCTGGATGAAGTCAGAAGTCCTCTCCCTTGCATCAGTATATAACATACTTGACTCATAAACACGTAGTTATTGTTAGTGAAGAGTCATTAATTTAAGGCACTTTAATAGACTTTGCAGACTAAGAACCATCAACTCTTTCTCCAATGACAGTTTACAAAGAGAACTGTCTTAAGTAGAATACAGTAACTTGATCTGATCATTAACAAGTCTGTGTGTGACCTTATCTCTTAGGACAGGATCCAACATGAGGTAAAATGATCAGGAGATGAAAAGAAACAAGGGTTTGGAGTAATAGCCGTTAATGATTTTAAATCATAGCTCAGTTTGTATACTCCCCAATTTAGTTTCTACCAAACTGAGTCATTCCAGAAGCAGGCAGATACTTCATATTGTGTTAAGTGCCATTTAGGTTTGAGCTTACAAAACTGTCCTCTGGTTTATAAGACTAAATTCAATGTCATCTCATCAGAGGGACAAGGAATAATAAAACACACAAAGAATGAAGAGACTTACTGTATCACGTTGCCTGTTATCTTTCCCTGATATTATTAGGAAGTAGTTCCAGGTCAGCAGTGACAATAACAACAGTGGTATCATGTAGAGCTCAAAGTTCCAGACGACAAAGAGGAAGAGCTGGTGGAGAGAAAAAAAGAGAAAAAGACACAAGTCAACTCTGCACTTACTTAGGTAGACTGTCATGCACACCCTTCTCCTCAAGATCCATAGACCTGCATGCTGCAGAACAGAAAGTTTGGTCTGGAAAGCAAAGCTCTAAGAACTTAGTAAACATTTTGCTAAAAGCACAATTGATCCTAGAAAATCACAGAGAAAATTTTTGCTTTATTTAATTTCTGTAAAGGAAAACTTGATATCATTATTTTATCAACACAATTTTAATTTCCCTTCCAGTGAAATTAATCAAGTTTTTTTGTTATTGTTGTTTTATTTTTGTTTTTTCAGTTTAATGAAAGCTACAGTGTTGTCAGAATAGTTTGGTCTGTTTGTTTGTCTGCCTTAATCATAAAGAATGAATCACCACTTAACATCAGAGACATTCTTTTCACAAATCTCACTTGGATAATACAAAAATATTTGTACAATGCATAATAGGCAAGTGAAAATACCATGTCTGTACCACAGAACCCCAAAAACCTCATATTATGAACAAACAAACAAACAAAAAATGCTGATTCCAACAAGTGTTAAAAGAAGTTGACTTCCCGTTTGGTATCACACAGAAAGGGAGATGTTTGCAAATGAATGTGAGTGAATGCTTTCAAGCTATTTCATCAAACAAAATTTTAACGTGCCTGTTTGTATTAGTTTTAATGCTACCCATTTGAATAAACTCTTTTTAATTGCAAGACAAATGTCAGAATAAGAACTTAGGGTTGCTGGGGGACAATTGTCTATATTTTGTCAATTATATTTTAAATAAATGCTATTGGTCAGTAGCCAGGCAGGAAGTATAGGCAGGACAACTAAACAGGAAGTAGAGGTGGGTCAATGAGAACAGGGGAATTCTGGGGAGAAGGAAGTTCCTTCTGCAGTCCTAGCGCAGCCATAGGAGAAGCAAGATGTGACTGTCTTGCTGGAAAAGGTACCAAGACATAGACTAACATAGACAAGAATAACAGGTTAATGTAAGTTATAAGAGTTAATAAGAAGCCTGAGGTAATGGGCCAATCAGTTTATAATTAATGTAGACCTCTGTGTGATTTCTTTGGGACTTAATTATTATGGGAACTTGGTAGACAGAAACCCCGACAACATGGGGTGACAGAGGAAATCATTCTATGCACATTTACATTGGAAAAGAATGGGATTGGAGCAATAAGCCATGACTCTCACCTCTTCACCAAAGTACTCCTGAGCATATCATCTACATTCTCTGGCTCTGTAACTCTTTCTATCAGTCTACTGTCACCTTAAATCTGGTGGGATTAAGAGCAGAATTCCTTTCTGATCTCAATGCTAAGGAACTCTGGAACCTTTCTGTAACTTTCATATCATGTATTTTAATTTTAATTTCTTCCTCTGTAAAATGAGGACAACAAGTTTTGAGAATTGCACAATTACCACAGTGCTCAGGATGAGGGCAAAAGCACAGAGCTGTGTTCATGCAAGTGATGCTCAGAAAGTTTGCTAATTCTTGACTGGAAGTCAAAATAGCATCTGCCTACTAAGATTTAGTTGAGCAGTAGCATAAGTTGGAATTTCAGTCAACTCTGCTTACTAAGATTTAGTTGAGCAGTAGCATAAGTAGGAATTTCAGTCAACTGCTCAGGGTAACACAAGTCTTGCATTTCATAGACCTAGAGAGTTAGGGAAAAGGTCATAAAGACATGAATGTGAACAACAGTGCTACCTGAAGCCTTCCTAGTAAATACAAGTGTCCAGGGCCTGGGTCTATCCAAATGACAGAGAGATCTTCCACATGTGATCCACAGAACATGGGATCTGGGCCTTGAGCAGTGTTTTTCCTCTGTTTCCCTAGCTGAAGAGTTCTATCGACACAATCACAGTCAATACCGATGTTCTAAAATCTCAGATGATTTCATGGTATAACTGTACCACTTCAGTGGATGACTCCAAGGAAAGAGTGTCTTCTGGAAATACCAGGTCCGCATGCACAAGACAGACGTAAGCACAAGCTAGACCAAACCTCAGCAAGGTAAGTGGGCTGGGTATGAAATCCCACCCCTAGCTGTGGAGTGTTGGCAACTGTTAGCTGCTGGGAAATGGAGAAACAGGCCAGTTCTTTCTAAAATTGCACCTCCTGGTAAGTCAGCCACTGTCCACTGGGAAGCAGAAACTAGTCTTGAAGGTTTTTCAGAATGCAAAGTTGGGCAGATGGAGCTCGGAAGAGCTGTGAGAGAGAGGGTAAATATGATCCAAACACACTGTAGGATATCCTCAGAAAACTGTTAAAAATTAAAAATATGCTTAAAATATTCTGAGAAGTGTGTATTTCATTAGATTTTTGATATTCATAACTCAAATGGACACTAGTATGAATATATAATTATTTGGTATTACATGGCAACAATAGATTCAACTTCCAGAATAAGAACCATTCCAAATATTTCATTGTGTGAAATGGTAGATTTTTTAATTTCCAACAGAAATGTAAGAAGGTTTCTAGAAAAAAATCTTTCCATTTAATTTTTTAAATTTTTATAATGTGTACAAAGAACATAGGATGGGATTCAGATGATCACATTGCTAATATGATCCAGTGAGATGATGTCAACCTACTGAGGAAAGATAATCTGTTTTGTAATATCTGATTACTGATGTTCAAGTGACTGTATCACTTCAACCATCTCTCAACATCATCAGTTACTTCAAGCATTGGTAACAAGACACACTTTATGCATATTTTCAACTATAAACATCATTCTCTTTCTATACCCTTAACTCATCACTATGCTCTTGAAATACAATGCTCAAAACCAGCACAACATATCTCATGCATTTCCTTTTTTAAAAAATATTCTTTTTTTTTAAATTGATTTTTACTGAGCTCTACATTTTTCTCTGATCCCTTCCCTGTCTCTACCCTCCCCTTTCCACCCTCCCCCAAGGTCCCATTGCTCCCAATTTACTCAGGAGATCATGGCCTTTTCTACATTCTACTTCCCATGTAGATTAGATCTATGTAAGTCTGTCTTAGTGTCCTCATTGTTGTCTAAGTTCTCTGGGATTGTGGTTTGTAGGCTGGCTTTTTTGCTTTATGTTTAAAAACCACCTATGAGTGAGTACATGTGAAAGTTGCCTTTCTGTGTCTTGATTACCTCACTCAAAATAATGTTTCCTAGCTCCATCCATTTTCCTGCAAAATTCAAGCTGTCGTTATTTTTTTCTGCTGTGTTGTACTCCATTGTGTAAATGTACTACATATTCCTTATCCATTCTTCAGTCAAGGGGCATTTAGGTTGTTTCCAGGTTCTGGCTATGACAAACAAGGCTGCTGTGAACATAGTTGAGCACATGTCCTTGTGGCATGATTGAGCATCCTTTGGGTATATAAAAGTGGTATTACGATTTGGAGCACCGGACAGAAATCTCAAGGTCCAAATCAGGAGCAGAAGGAGAGAGAGTACGAGCATGGAACTCAGGACCACGAGGGGTGCACCCACACACTGAGACAATGGGGATGTTCTATCGGGGACTCACCAAGGCCAGCTGGCCTGGGTCTGAAAAAATCTGGGATAAAACCGGACTCTAGCGGACAATGAGGACTACTGAGAACTCAAGAACAATGGCAGTGGGTTTTTGATCCTACTGCACGTACTGGCTTTGTGGGAGCCTAGGCAGTTTGGATTCTCACCTTACTAGACCTGGATGGAGGTGGGTGGTCCTTGGACTTCCCACTGGGCAGGGAACCCTGATAGCTCTATGGGCTGAAAAGGGAGGGGAACTTGATTGGGGGAGGGAGAGGGAAATGGGAGGCGGTGGCAGGGAAGAGACAGAAATCTTTAATAAATAAATAAACGGAAAAAAAGAATAAAAATAAAAAAGTGGTATTACTCGGTCTTGAGGAAGGTTGTTTTCTAATTTTCTGAGAAATTGCCATACTGATAGCCAAAGAGGCTGTACCAGCTTGCATTCCCACCAGCAATGTAGAAGTGTTCCCTTTACCCCACAACCTCTCCAGCATAAGTTGTCATTAGTGTTTTTGATCTTGGCCATTCTTATAGGTGTAAGGTAGAATCCCAGAGTTGTTTTGATTTGCATTTCTCTGATGACTCATGATGTTGAGCATTTCCTTAAGTGTCTTTCAGCCATTTTAGATCCCTCTGTTAAGAGTTCTATGTTTATGATGATATGCAAGATATTCGTCAGTATTGCTCTAGGATAGGGTCATTTCAGATTCCCAATCCTCAGCTGCCCAAGGAACTAACTGGGAACCTCATCTTGGGCACTTGGGAGCCCCTCTAGGGTCAAGTCTCTTGTCCACCCTAAAGTGGCTCCCTTAACTAAGAATTGTGGTTCCGTGCTCCCCTATCCACCTTTCCTTCATCTGGTGATGGATAGAGATAGAGACAGAGACCCACACAGGAGCACTGGACTGAGCTCCCAAGGTCCCAATGAGGAGCAGAAGGAGGGAGAACATGAGCAAAGAAGTCGGGACCACGAGGCGTGCACCCACCCACTGAGACAGTGGAGCTGATCTACTGGGAGCTCACCAAGGCCAGCTGGACTGTGACCGAAAAAGCATGGGATAAAACCAGACTCTCTGAACATGGCGAACAATGAGGGCTGATGAGACGCCAAAGACAATGGCACGGGGTTTTGATCCTACTTAATGTGCTGGCTTTGTGGGAGCTTAGCCAGTTTGGATGTTCACCTTCCTAGATTGGACGGAGTGGGGAGGACCTAGGACTTACCACAGGGCAGGGAACCCTGACTGCTCTGTGGACTGGAGAGGGAGGGGGAGAGGAATGGGGGGAGGAGGAGAAGGGTGGGAGGAGGGGGAGGGAAATGGGAGGCTAGGAGGAGGTGGAAACTTGTTTTTTGTTTATGTTTTTTTTAAAAAAAAATAATAATAAAAAAAGAAAAAAAAGAGTTCTATGTTTAGGTCTGTACTCCACTTTTTTTTAAAAATTGTATTATTTGTTCTTTTGATG